ACTCACCCTCACACCCATGTGCACACCCACAGACACACCACACACAGAGAGAAGAAGGAGGTAAAAAAGAACATACATGTTTCCTGGAAAGGGCCTTGACTGAGGAATTAGCGGTCATATTTCACGAGGGACGGGGATGGAATCTGTTCTCAGTCTCAAGAGCACCACGACAAAGTACTCCCTAAGGCGCTACTCAGTGAGAGGAAAGAAGCCAGGGCAACCCTCCAGCAGTCACACAGCCTCCATGACGGGGCTCGACAGGTAAGAGAGCAAGAGAAGAAACCCAGACTCAAGACGTGACAAATGTCAGCGATCTCAGTGACAAGAGGAAGCAGGAAGTCGATGAGCTGCTTGCTCACTGGGGAGAAGGAGATCCCAGCTTCCCAGATTTGAGGCAGCAAAGTGTCTTGACCAATTGATCTGCTTGCTTCCCGCCCTGTGATGGACCAAGCAGACGCAGTGTAAGCGAAAAACCATCGTTCTTCCCAGTCTTCTCTACAGTCAGGCTTGAAGGCTTAGGAGGGGCCTGCTAGGTCAGGTCTCTGGAGGGATGGAATTCGACTCCCTAGATCTTCTCTGTTTTGTCGGCCAACTGGCTCCTAGGTAGGGAGACATTTCTGGCAGTGAAAACAGTACCGAGCAGGCAAGAGACCTGAGAAAGGGCCAGGGGGTGAAGGCAAGCAGGTGACACCGGAGACAAACACGACAAGCTGTGCTCCGGACACACTGAAAAAACACAGTGGGAAGACTGACTCCTTCCGCCGAGAGAGGAAAGCAAGGAGAAATTCAGCTGAAAAGAAACCTTTGTGTTCCCTTGGTAGCCACATTTGTTCCATGCCTTCTCAGTGTGGACCCCTCCAACGCGTCAAACTACCACAGTAAGAGTTTGACTGCTTCATCAATGCTCCTTGCTAAATAGGATCCATGAATATTTCAAGCTGGCCCTTTCTTTACTAGAAATGGCACAGGAGCCTCTCGCAACCATTCTGTCCCCAGTTTGCAGCAGTGGCTGAGTAACTGAATCTGTGGAAACCAATATGGCGGTTGTCTTTATGGCATTCACTCACAGTCCCAGAAGTCTGCTCTCCTTTAGTATGAGGGTTAGCTACAGCAGCGGGGTCTGGAGGCGGCTATGTGGCATTTGGTAAGCAGGACAGGCTCTGGAGCTAGGCAGCAAGTGTGTGGTGACTCCGCCATTTACTTATATGCTGGGTGACCTGAGCAAGGATGTAAGCTTGGGGTCTCACTGTGAGACACAGATTATTATGGCATTCCATGCATAGGGCTGTTGTGAAGCTGAGTTATAATGATAAGTCTTTATCCTTTCAATCACATTTTAGAAGATTGACAAGTGGCATTCGAGGTGTACTTCAAAATAATCTGGAGGTAAGGTACATAAAAAAAGCAAACAAACAAAACCTTGGCAGGCCAGCTGTGGTGGCATATGCCTTTAATCCCAGCACTCAGGGGGAAGAGGCAGATGGACTTCTGTGAGTTCAAGATCAACCTGAGATACATAGTGAGTTCCAGGACAGCCAGAGATCTGTAGAGAGACCCTGTTTTAAAAAACAAACAACAACCAAAAAGGAAGAAAAGAAAAGAAGTTGGCTATAGTTATCCAAATTGGATGAGAACATGGGGAGATGGTTGTACCATTCTGCCCTATAATATTTGTGATAGAAATTTAAGAAAGAATATAATGCATTAAAACTCTTCAAACACAGCATACATGTGCTCAGTAATTATAATCTGCTAGAGATCGGGGAGGGTCTCAAAGGCATTACTCCCACTTACAGAGTCACCAGTGAGCCTAGCTCTGGACACCAGCACAAAGGGACATGTGTGGATGCACTGCAAACCTGACTGTCAGTTGAAGTCATCCATGACAGACCAAACTTTCTGTTTGGAAGTTTGCTAAATCAGCCGAGTTTAGTAACTACTAATTATACCCTGCCCTTTATTGATGCACACAATCACAAAGAGCTATAGATTTGCAGTGTCTTCAAACAGTTGTCACCCCAACCCAAAGTAAAACACTTCTAAATTTTGTTGACTTGAGGAGTTCAGATTTGTGGGGATTACAGCATATGAAACAATGGAATAAAAAAAAAACCCAATCACTGAAAATACCCTCCTAACCCTATCCTGTGCTGTTGACTCAGGAAACCACTTACACCAATTCAGTCGCCATTAGAAACTCTTAACTTTTAGCATTTATTTAATAAGGAGCTGAGCTGGACAGGAAGCCTGACCCTGAAGTAATTCTAGGTTGGATATTCAAGAGCCCTTAACTTAAAGTTAAATCAGCATTTCAAACTCCATGTCCCATCATTATGAAGGAATTTATGGTATCAGCCCTGATCCAGACCAACTTCGTTCATTTGTAAACTAGAATGACAACTCTCCCCTCATATTGCCATGAGGAAATACAACTAAAGTGTATCACATAGAACCTGGAACACAGCTGTTACTTGGTACATGTTTCTATGTTGTGCATTCATATCTCACTTGGAACTCAGTGAGTCCTTAAGACCAGCGGTTCTCCAGACATAAGACACATCACATAATTAGACACTTCAGTGTTTTCTATTTCACATGGCAAGGTTTTTATGCAGCTGTCGTCTGCCACACTGACTTGATGTGTGAGTGGCTATATTCTTGTCATTGATGCCTACTTGTCCTCTCGTATATGACCCCTACTTCTGTAAATGTATTGTGACAGTGTATATCTTAAACAAAAGAAAAACTATAAGTAAAAAGTAAAGAGGAAAAACATGGCCCAACACAAGTCTAGGAATTAGTGTTATTATTATGTAGTGCTGACTGAAAAGCACTGTGTGTGTGAGAGACAAAGAGAAAGAGAGAAACAAGGAGAGGGGTAAAGATGGAGAGAGAGAGAGAGAAAGAGAGAGAGAGAGAGTATTATGTTTCTTACTATCTAGTTTACTGTTGAGGACTTATTAAGTGGTCAAAATCCTTGAAGTTGAATTAAAATTCCTTGCCTGAAGTCCATCTTTGCTGCCTGATGCCATTTATATGCCAACAACATCAATCTACCTTTTCTTCCATTACCTCTATGTCAGAGTGACTCTCCAGCTTCAAAGATCTAAAACTATTAACATCCTCGGTGAAGCAGAAATTTGTCAGTGAGTCTGGGCCTGGTGGCACAGGCCTATGATTCTAGTTACTTGGGAGGCTGAAAGTTGCGGGGGGGGGGGGGAGTTATAAGAAAGGGAGGGGACAGGAGAGGAGGAGGTCAGGAGCCCTGTGAATTGGGGATGTGGGGGGGTGTTAAAACCTGGAAAATATTAGCAGCATTTCCTGAATTAACCCAAGCCACTTGTGCAGACCTGACAAATCAGACCTACCTGAAACGTCACCTGTCTGCATGGCATATCGTGCACTGTAGCCATTTCAGTATTCGCCCATGCAGGAAACAGATTCCCCTTTACCGGAAACTCCAGAGAATACTGTTAATGCCGTGTTCTTGCTTAAGTGCAGGACTAGGACAGCTAAGGTATTCCTTTTGCAGAACATATATTTTGTAATTTGGGTATCCTTGCCTTCCATTGCTATTTCATGTTATCCTCTGCTTAGAGTTCCATCAATTTTCTTCTTGAACAAGTCCAAGAATAAAATGAGAAGAAGACTTTTCCCAATAAAAGGTTCCATTCTCCACAAAGTCATTGTTTTTGGTGGAGTATGTGTATTTCCTTTCCATCTGCAATTGGAGTAAGCACAGCCTCCCTGTAGTTTCCAGACTAAAGCCCTAGTGGATACTCTCTTGTACCAAAAAGAGCAGGTGCCACAGATAGGGCAAACACACACTCAAGACACAGTGACAAACTGCAAATGCTCCCTTATTTACAGATACAGAGTCCGTTACTTTACTCTTTCCCCTTTTAATCTTTGACAACATTAGCTGAGAAGGGTAAATGTCACCACCTCTGCTGCTAGCGGTGTCTCAAGATCCACACGGAGCCCTCTTAAACCAGTAACCGTGGCACTGATCTCCTTCACCTTCATAAAGGCCTGGGAATTGGGTCAGCCTAGGTGGGGATGTCTGCCTTGGTCATTAGGTTAGCTCTTCTTAGAATCTAGATTATTGTCACACCTGTTGCATATTAAAACTTACCCTAATTATTGATTGATTCATTCGATGACTATTGCTCTGATGTGGCATTGAGTCCTCGTCACACAGGAAAACAGGGCTAGTCTGTGATAGTTAAATCTTTATTTTTCAACGTGCCTGGGCTTCTGAACCCCCTGTGAGAGACACACACCTCTGTGAATGCCGGTGAGAGTGTTTGCACCCTCGTATCTCTCTCTGCTTCCTGACTGCAGATATAATGTGACCAGTTCCCTCACATGTTCCTGGTACCAGGCTTCCCGGCCATGATGGACCGTATCTTCAAACTGTGAACCTAAATAAACTCTTTCTTCCTTTGTAAGTTTCCTAACTGTGTGGGAGCTGGAGGGAGGATGTTTGTGTGTGTGCACACACGTATGTGGGTACATATGCCTGTGCATGAGGTTGCAGAAGCCAGGAGTCAGCATGGAGTACCTCCCTCTATCGCTCCCCGTCTTCCTCTCTGAGACACGCCCTTTCACAGAACCTGGAGCTCAGCTTTAACTAGCTAGGTTGGCTGGACAGCAAGATCCCAACAGTCTGTGAGTCTCTACCCCCACCCCGGCAATGGAGTTGCAGAGACACACAGCTATGTCTGGCTTTTACACGGTGTCTTGGGATTTGAGCTCAGGTCCTCATGTTCATGAAGACCTACTGAGACCTACTGAGCCATCTCCCTGGCCCTCCTCCTTCCTTAGGCTGCTTAGGTATGTCGTCACACCATTGGGAGTAGTAGCTATTGGAGCCTCTTTAGCCTGTAGATGTCCGGGACGCTTATGAAGCAACCCTAGGCACACAGAAAAGAAATAGCTTCCTTTACCCCAAAAGACTTATCTCAACCTGATGGGTCAACTCGCTTAACTTGTTACAGACAGCAGTTTCCTCACCTTTGGAGAAGAGTCATGCTTAACACAATGTGAGATAACATCCAGTTTAATCCACCCGTTCTAATCTTCTGAGTAGGTAAGTAACTAGTGCCCCACAAGTTAGTTCTCTGCACAAACCATGATACATGAAAGCCAGAGAAGAAACTATTTGGGATGGGGAGGAAGAAGGGGACCAGTAAGAAGGGGGAGAGGCGGGAGATGGAGGACAGGGGGCACCAAGAATTTTCTCTTCCTGACTCCCAGGACATGCACCCCCTAAATAAATGGTGCCATGGCATGCATGCACCCCCTAAATAAATAAATATGGTAAAAATTTTAAAAGTCACAGTGATGATGTTGTTGTCCATGCCACACAGGGTGAAGCGGAGCTGTATTTGACAAGGTTTGTGAAAGTACTCTGAAAACTGTTGGCTGAGGCACACACAGAAATGATAAGCAAGGTGAAGGTATCAGAATTAGCTAAGTTCTATAAGACTCTGAAGCAATGTTCCCCTGAATGCAAGCTTTTCTCTACCTGCCACCCAAAATGAAAGCCCAGTGAAACAAAAGTTTGTGTGTGTGTGTGTGTGTGTGTGTGTGTTCACATGGATTTGTGTGTACATACATGCCAATATGCATGCGGAGTCCAGAGTTCACATCTTTATTTCTTGAGACAGGATCTCTCCATCACAATTTAGAGCTCACCGATTGACTACGCCAATGAATTCCAGGGATCCACATGGCTGTATGACCCCCTTCCCCCCCCACACACACCTCCTCCACTCCCACCCCAGTACTAGGTCAACCAATTCCACAGCCCTCATCTTTCTGGGGACCCACACAAGTCTCCCCTATTTCACAGCAGGTACCTTGGCAGCAGATCTATCTCCCTAGTCTCGTATTTTCTATTTTGTTTTCTTCTTTCTTATCTTTCTTCTTTTTTTTTTTTTTTTTTTTACTTTTCTGGGTTTTTTGTTTGTTTGTTTGTTTTGAGGCAAGGTCTCATTGGATATCCCAGGCTGGCAGTCTTCTGGCTTCAGCTTTCCGAGTGTTGACATTATAGTCATGAGCCACCACACCTCAGTCTCCCTCACCCCGCCCCCTTTATATTAAGCAGTCACTAATCTAACAAGGCAGTGACCCTTGCCTTTCAGAATCATCTGAGAAGCATTTAAGAAATCTGATACCGAGGCCCTATCCCGAGCTTCTCAAAGGGCGGTTTGTGATGGGGCTGGGGCACCCCAGGCAATTCTTTTGTGCAACAGGCACAGAGCCACAGGCCCAGTGGCTTCTAGATTTCAGCTAAAAAGTCATTCTTCTTTACATCCTTGTCTACAGAGCTTTGTGCCTTTCCTGGAATGCGCCCTTCTCCCACGCCAGGGAAGATCTACTCGTTAGTTACTCACTCGAGTGACTCCAAATTGAAAAGAGGAAAACAGCAACAAATAGACATCAAAGCAGAGCAGGGTGGTGGTAGGGCATGCCTTTAATCCCAGCACTCGGGAGGCAGAGGCAGTCAGATCTCTGTGAGTTCGAGACCAGCCTGGTCTACAGAACACGTGCCAGGATAGGCTCCAAGGCTACACAGAGAAACCTTGTCTTGAAAAACAAAACAAAACAAAACAAAAAAATAAATAAATAAATCAAAGCAGAGCCCAGGCTTTCCCATCCTATATGGCAGGTCAGGCCATGCAAGGCCAAAAATAAATGGCCAACAGTAATTTGCTAAAACGAAAGGGACTTCTGCAAGCATCCCTTGCAAGGTCAAAGGGTGAGGGAAAAGCAAAGGTACGCTAGTAGACCTCTTTGCCTGTTCACATAGCAGAAGCCCGAACCCTGAAGGAGGAGACACGAAGAAGAACCTTCATTGCTGGGGAGGAAATGGCAGCAAAGTGTCTCTCGCTCTCGCTCTCCTCTCCTTCCAGGTGAAGCTATCCGGAAAAGGGAAGCCCTTTGTCCTCAGAGACGTCTGGGGACCATCCTTCATGACCTGCAGACTACACTCACCCATTCGTCTGGTCAAGCCTGGGCTAGACTGCAGAAGCAACGGCTCGTCCACGCCTGCCCCACTTTTGGGTACATGGGTTGATCCAAATATATAGGTTCTTGGTTAAAGACCCACCATCAAGCCTCTTGGAAGTATGGCCCAAGGATGTTTTTTAAAATTCAAATCTATTAATAGGTCATAGTAAAAGTGATGGCTTACTGGTTTTTGCTGTGTCCTATGTGTTTCATAAAGACTATCTCATTTATTTCTATATTATCTCTTGCAATACATTATTGCAATGTATTGGCATTATCTGAGTATCTTTTGGAGACATTCAGTAATTCATCAAACAATGTTCCCATGGTGAAGCAGAATATCTGGTGATGCCACGATGCTAGCGCAGGCTTATTCTAACACCAGATCTGGGGCTCTCTCCCAGGGTTTCTTCGCATTATTGATGTTTAGACAGCTTTGTGTTGGGAGGGAGTGTCCTGTGCTTTATAGGATACCCAGTACCGTCTCTGACCTCCCATCATCAGAGGCCAGCAGCAACCATTCCTACGGTTAGAACAATCAAAGATATTTCCAGACATGGCCCAGTCTCCAGAGGCGGGCAAGGTCAACCTCCCTCCTCACTCATGGCGCCATTCTAGGTTGATGTGTGCTGTGTATTGTTCTACTGGTATAAGAACACAGGCCATTGCTCAGAAGAGAGACTCCTGGAACAAAACAACAAAACCCCCAGCGCCCCACAGTTCTCCAGGGGAGGATGACATTGCAACAGTGCAACCCCATTCTACACTTACATATCATTATGAGACTCACGAGTGAGATTTTAAGAGAGGCTCTCCCTGAGAAGCACAGGGTGATCTAGTCTTCACAACTCCCCTTGTCTCTATGTCCGAGTGTTAGGATTATTGGTGTGCACCACTCTGCCTGGCCTCTGGGTGCTTTTGTATCATCTCCCTTCATGGCAGCTAAGCCGGCAGTGAGAGCTCGTCCTGAAAGAGCTAGACAACCTCAGAGAAATGGAGGTAGGGGAGCTGCAATGGCCGTTCTTCCTTCTTAACTTGATTAGTTTTGAAATCACCTAGGAGACACACCTGGGCATGTCCTTGCTTGCCCACAGGGGTTTAACCAAGGAGAGAAGATCCACCATGACTGTGGGTGCTGCCCATGCACAGGGTCGAAAAACCAAAAAAAAAAGACTGTCATTTGTTATAAAGTTATAAAATTTCACATAAAGTCAAAAGACTTTTCATATAAACCTTCTAGTAAATAGTTTGAGCATTACAATACCAGACTCCACTCAGTACTTACTTTGTTATGCACACACCATGTTTAACCTTCCTCCCAAGCCCAGGGTCCACACCTGTTATTATTCCCATTTCCCATGTCACTTGAAATCAAAGATATTATCCACATGGTAGAAACAGAGAGAGGAGAAACAACGTGTCCGACAACACGCCTAGACCAGAGGCAAGCCACGGTGGTGTGAAGCTTCTTGCTACATTACCTGAAAAGAAAACTGAGGATTTAGGGAAAGCAAAGAAGAACGAGGGCTACATTCTGGTTCTGTCGGCTTCTTGAACAGTGTGCCCTGGAGTCCTAATGCTAAATGCCTTTTTAGAAGTCATTCCCGCCGGGCAGTGGTGGCGTACACCTTTAATCCCAGCACTCGGGAGGCAGAGGCAGGCGGATCTCTGTGAGTTCGAGGCCAGCCTGGTCTACAGAGTGAGTTCCAGGACAGCCTCTGAAACCCTGTCTCGAAAAAACAAAAAACAAAAAGTCATTCCTTTCCACTTACCCACTCAAAACTCAAGCAATACAAACTGCCCAGCAAAGAACATCAAGGTGAAAGTAGGTTTATTTTTTCAAATAAATTACAAAGTATACTAATTAAGCCATATTTCTAAGTTATTTTTCCTATACAAACTGGAGCATAAACACCCAAATGAAGGTGTTACTTTTATTGATTTGCATCTTAATTATTTTTTTGAGATGTCTCAGTACGTAATTTGACTTGAACTTGCTATACAGATCAGGTTGGCCTCAAACTAACAGAGACCAACCTGTTTCTGTTTCCCTGGTGATGAGATTCAAGGCAATTGCCACTACATCTGGCTGATTTGGAACTAAAATGTCTCCCAATGGCTACTGTCTAGAAGGTTTGGACTGTATTACTGGGAGGTGGTAAGGAAAAGGTTAATGGGGGGAAGCCCTTAAAAGTGGGTCTTCTCTGTCTCTGACTACTGACTACCTTAAGGGTGGGTCTTCTTTGCCTCTGACTACTGACTACCTTGTAGTGAGAGCTTGCCCTGCATGTACTCCCAACCCTGCTGCTCTGCCCTTCCATAAACCGGAATCAACTGGACCAGGTAGACAGAAAGCTCTGAACCTTTCCCAGAGCGTTTCTTCTTGCTTCTAAGTTGATTATTTCGGGTGTTTTGTTGCTGTCATAAATCTGACACAACTTCTGAGTAAGCACGGATAGAAACGCCATATGTTTCCTGGAAGCCCCTGTTTGAACTGCTAATCCTTCAAGAGAATTGTCACTATTTCCATATGTCATTTCATAACCCAGGTTCTCCAGAAACCCGAGCTGGCCTCATTCTGCCTTTGTCTCTGCCCGCTGCAGGTTTGCAGGCACTGGGGCAATCAGTGAATGCACTGCAGCATCTGAAGGCAGTCCCAAAGCAGCGCTCAGGGACCGTTCTCAGCGATGGCAGCATCACTAGATGCAGTATCCAGCTTGTCAAGGGAACGCTTTCGAAGGGGAGAAATAGTCATTTGAACGTACGAATACAGACATACTTATTTTAATACTTGGATAAAGAATTGCAAATATCAGCTGGATTTCTGTTGCAGCGAATAGATACTCTGCTGCAACAATGCTGTTTCAGATTTTTGATGCAAGGGGTCGGGTCATTCAGCAAGCTCTATGTACATGCTTTGCACAGCAAAGCAAGTCCTGATATGATGTTTTGAAATGAAAGCATATTTTTCCTGCTAGTGTGCATAGCTGTTGAAGGTTTCCTTTTCTTGAAGGAAAAAGGAAACTTGAAACAAGAAAAAAAAAACAAACTTAAAATTAAAAAAGCACACCATCACCACCAACAAAATAAAAATCCAGACTGGGCTAGCTGTGGGTGGTGCAGGCCTTTAATCCCAGTGCTAGGCAGAGGAAGGTGGATTTCTGTAAATTCAAGGCCAGTCCAGTCTACATAGTAAATTCCAGAACAGCCAGGGATATATAGAAGACCATGTCTCAAAACAAAACAAACAAACAAAAACTCAGACCCACTAAATGTTAGTTGCCGAAATAGCTCTTGGGGATTGGGGCTGCAGTTTAGGGGTAGAGTACTTGCTTAGCATGTACTAGGCCCTGTGTTTGAGCTCCAATACTGAAAAAAAATACTTCTTGTAATCCACACACTTGTAATCCCAATACTTGGGAAAAAGCGATAGACTGATTAGCTATGTTGAGGCCAACCTGGGCTACAGGAGTCCTTCTCCCAAAAAAACAAAGTTAAGGAAAGAGAGAGAGAGAGAGAGAGAGAGAGAGAGAGAGAGAGAGAGAGAGAGAGAGAGAGAGAGAGAGAGAGAGAGAGAGAGAGAACAGTCCTTGGTTTTCTTAGGGCACGGGCAACTCAGTGTGTGCCCTACACTCACAGTCTAGAAGTAAAGATATTCTTTCCCATACACAAATACCTTCCAATGACAAAGAAATCAGAGTTGCCATGAATCAGTTATTTATTATGCCCAAATAAACTACACATCACAAATAAGCAGCAATATAGGGTAGGTCGACAAGATGCTCAACATTACTTTAAATGAAATGACTTGTACACCCAAGATTAAAAAAAGAAAACAGACAACGCCTAGGTCGTGTCTTTAGATGTGCCTCAGATACCTATCCTCTGAGATGCCAGGGATGGAACAGTTCAAGACATAGGAGCAGGCCATGAATCTCTTCAACAGGGCAATTGTGGATAGTTCCTTCCACAAGGGTAACTTTCTCTTAACCACAGGAAATGGAACCGGCACTAATACAAACACTGACCACAGGACACTAGAACACTAAAGTCTGCCCGTGGAATGCAATGCCCTTGTCGATCCCTCTCGCCCTCCATTTTTTTCCCCTCAGAAGTTGGCTCTGACCGTATAAGAGTAAATAGTACCTGCGGATCATTGCTCCACACACACCTACATTATATGAGTTCTGCCCGAAGCACACAAGGTTAATGTCCCTTATGTATTGGAAATCTCACTCTGTGACTATTCCTTTGGCCACTTTTCATCACCCCCGCAGCGACGCCATTTCTAAGCCAAGTCAGAAATATGTGGTGCCACTTAAGCAAGACCCACCGGGATCAAGGGTCTCTTTTATCACTGGGTACCTACAACTGCTCAAGAAGTTGAGATACTTGGCTGCCATCAGGTCCTGGCAACTAACCGGTAATCCTTCCACTCGGTTCCCAATACTCTTGGACTCGCTGAGTACTGGATCTCCCACTTGTCTTATCTAGGGCTTCTCAATCTACTGTCAAAGGGTGTCCATGGCCACCTCCACTTAAAAGACAGCATTCCCATGGCTTAGTTATCCCCAGCACCGCCCTGCCTGCCACCTCTGCCCCTTCGTGCCTTCAAATCCCTTGGTTCACCATAGCCCTAAGTCAGCAGCCCACGGTTTTCAGCACAACTACCCTCCTCCGAGAACCCTGCTCCACCCTCCTCCAGGAGGAGCTCAGGCCTCGCTCACCTTACTCTTTCCGGGGTTCCCCTCTCTCGGGCACCCCCTTCCGCCCCGTTTTTCCTCTACTAGGCATTCCCCTCCGGGGTTCCGTTCCTCTCTGCCCTGTGGAGGGCGCCCCGAGAATGCGCACGGAGCCCCCTCCCTCTGGATCCTGCCTCTCCTACTCTCTAGGCTCATATACCTTCAATTCATGATCGTGACATCTACCCCAAGCCCCAGCTCCCCAGGCTCCCACCCCCAAGCTCCTCGCCGCCGCCGCAGTCCGGATTCCTTAACCCCAGCCCTTTAGGACTCTGCAGTTCCCCAACTCCATGGTCTGGACTGTCTGTCCTGCATTCTAAAACCCAGTATTGAAACTCCAGCATCGGGTCTCAGCCCCTGCCCCTGGAGTCCGGGCACCTGTCAATGCGGTTCTACATCCTCCCTGCAGAGTCGGATCCGGAGCTCCCGAACGTCGCGATCCTGACATCCCCGCCTCCCGAGCCCTGGCAGAGACTTCCCAGCATCGCAGTGGAGACCTGCACCCTGCCCGCCCCCCACCCCCCGCGACGGGACTCACCAACGCCGGGAGCCGCCGAGCTCCCGCAGCTCAGCCCCGCCAGCCACACTCCTGCCTGGGGCTCCCGGAGAGCTCCCTCCGAGCGGCCGCGACAGCGACCGCGGAGGGCTCTGCACTCGAGAGCGGCGGGGAGGAGGGGACAACCCGAGCGGCGACGCCCAGCTCCGCCCCTTCCCGGCCCAGGGGAGGGCGGCGTAGCCGGGTGCACACCCCGCGGCTGCCACAGCCACCGCAGCCGAGGAAGTTGACTGACGCCGCTTCCTTCCACCCACCTTCAGACCCTCGCGCCCCCCTTTAGCTGCAGCTCCCCGGGGGGCTTTGAGGCGGCAAGGGATGCGGTATGCACTCTGTGTTCTTCCCAAAAAACATTTCCTAAGTCCCTCGGGAGGGAGAGCAACAAACTTATCTGCCATTTCAGGAGCTGATCCCAACCCTGACCTTCTTTTCTCCCTCCTCCCTGGGGTGAACGTTCATGGGAGCCCAAGAAATCACGCGGTGCACCCCAGGAAGGCCCTGAAGACACAGTCTCAAACCCCCGTGCAAGACTCATACTTCTGCTGTGATTGCATCACACAGGTCACTCGGCTGCGCCAAGCAGACCCGTGTAACCTCCATCCAGTAAGTCCTGCCCACATCCGCCAGAGTTGTTCTCACCCACCATGCACTCTGTATTTATCATGATTTTCTTAAAAATCCACTTAGGAAGCAGGGCCATCAGTTAACAAATCGAATTGGCTTTGCTGCTGAAAAGCTGCTTGCGTTATCAGGAAGAAGCGGCGCGGGAAGGTCGGATCCGGGGAAGGTGGTCTGTATCCGCTCTCCCCTAAGGGGTCCATCCTTGCTACTGTTCCGAGACTGCTCAACTGGTTTGTGGACTGCTGAGCTTGGGCTCTTTTCCTTTAAACCCACCCCGTTCCAGCGAAGCATCTAACAATGTTATACCATTCCCAACATTTAAAAATCTGTTATTTGGTGAATCTCCAGCAAAACATGCAGAAGCAAAGCGAACCGTTTACACAGTCGGATTGTTTCCATTCCATAAATGAAGGTGTTTGGAGTCTGGGCTATTATGTTTCAGCTTCACTGGTTTCCCCCATAGGACAGTGAGTGGCCCCGTATGCAAAGGCATGGGTGCAAAAGCTCCGGGGAAGGGGCTCCCGGGGAGGTGGGCTCCCTGTGCAGGTCTGCTGCCTTGATGTCTGCCTCACCCCAGAGATGGCCAGGTTGTTCTTGCATCCCGGAGAGGCAAGGCCTTCCATAATGGCAAGCACTCATTATTTTAGGCAGCTGTACAGCAATGCTAATAGGAAGGGAACTCCTCCCCCTTCCCCCCCCCCGCCTCCCAACACAAACACACTTTCTGCCCAGATCTAATCTAGAATCAGAATGAAAAGTCCCCAAATCTGAGGGTGTACCCACGGGTTCAGTTGAACGGACGTGAGCTGTAGCAAGAGTCAAAAAGCCTGCGATGTACATCTTGGCTCTTGCAGCTCCCTCCACCCCTGGGAGAGCTACTGTCTCTCAAATGTAAACTCTTAAACTGTGGGTTGCAATCCTGTGCTAGGGGATCGAAGGCAGGGCTGCAAAAAACCTGACAGCAATGCAAGATTTCCGAATGTGCAACAGCCGAAAGGGAATTCAAAATCAAACGCGATGGCCTTAGCCTCCGGTGGGAGTCACTTCATGGTAGCCTCGGTTCTTCCGCACACGCGCCCGGTGCATGGTTACATGCCATCACAACACGCGGCCCCAACCAGTATTGCCCGAAGTCCCTTTGCTCAGAGAGTCTCGCGTTAAGAATTGCAGTGTTTTTACTGTGTGCACAAGGTTTTCTGCTCTTACCAAGCACGATAGCTCAATAACCGAAAACAAAGACTTTCCGATTTCTCTGCTGCCTTTCCTCAGCTTGTTAGTGTCGAATTAGCATATCTGAAGATTGTAGGTGTGTTAGAGAGCTTAGTTTTAGCAACTGTTTCTTGCATGGCTGACTCAAATTTCACTTAAGGTCTGTTAAATGAACTTCGGTTGACTTAGGACAGAACTTCCAGCAGTGACTGAAATGTCCTTAGACATGCTTCTGCCACTTTGTGCTCTGTTTTCATGTGAAGATGTGTTCCCTACACTGAAGATCATAGAATCACCCCATGGATCATTCCTGATAAAGACTGAAGATGTTCTACGTCACTGAGTCTCAGGTATTCAGCCAGTGTCACTCACTGTATAAAGAAACAAACGCACCCATCTCATTAGGATACAATTTTTCTTTTGTATTTAATAGATGGTGAAATCATCATGTATACTAAAGAACTGTCTGAGAGTAATAGTCTTCTCATTTCTGTTGGGAGCTGTAGGGAGGGTGGCCTCCTCCATCTGTAGGAGTGTTCCCCGGTTTTCCAGCCATTACAGGCTTGTACCCTGGGGGTGGGGGCGAGTGACTGAGTATGTGGGCGGTGGGCCTGCCCCCACTATCTCAGACAGGCACTGGATAGTTGCAGCATGTGACCTTGTTGTTGCTGCTCATTTCTGGGGCCATCTTGAGTAGAAAGTTTAAGAAGTCATATTTTAATCCTTCCTCATGGAAAATTCCCCTTTTCTTCCAACCTTTCAGCAAAGACAAGTGTGTATGTGAAAACACCCAGGCATTGATATTTGGGTGAGAAGGCCTGTTCATCAATGACCTTCCAACTAGCAATGTGTTTTTCATCATTCATCCAATAACTGGTGTCTGCTAGCTCTCCTCCATAGTGCCAAAAGGTGGTGTGTGTGGAGAACAGCTCCTAGGGGAGAATGGACAACAGTCTAATCAAGTGGGAACCTAATGTACAACCAGACTAGCCAGCAAGGCAAGATGAGCTCACTGGAACAATAGTGGCAAGTCTGTTATGGGGGTTATCAACCACTCTCTGATCTTACTTGGATGGTACTCGACAGGATTCACAGGTCCAATCCAAAGCATACAGCTAAGCAGGCCATAGACCCTTGTGCAAAGCTACAACTGTCGTTTTGCTAAGTAGACATGGTGTATCCATAGCATTCCCATCTAAATAACTATGTGTATGTCCATAGATTAGTGTCGGTCAGAGAAGCATCCCACCCCACCCCCACCCACCATAGTGGTCAACAGTAGCCCCAGAGACTCATAATTGGCCAAAGTATTGGGAATAAGTGAGTATCAAATGCTTAGCCACAACGGGACAACAATACCAACCCTATAAGGTGCAAGGAGTATCATAGAAGAACGAGCAGAAAGAATGTAAGAAAGGAGCGAGAGTGATGGATATCAGTGACTTCTTGGCATGATGCCATTGTTGCATTTCTGAACTTACAACCATGGTTACTTGGACAAGATCTACATGAGATTTCACACTGGCATCCTGTTGTGGAGGGGGTGTGGTTCATGGGGGCCTTGACCTCCGTGGGGATTTATAAGCAGTTAATGGCTGATGGGGATTGAGAGACATTTTCTTCAGTGGTAATGTAAGGAACCTTGGGGAAGCTAATTGGGCAGCAGCAAACAAAACAAAACATGACCTAGGCGGGGAGCTATTTGCTATTTGGTAGGAGGACGGGGATCAACCAGTGTAGGAAGGGTCGAGAGAGGGTAAAGAGGGCTAGTGGTAAATATGATCAAAATATGATCAAAATATGCTCCATACAAAAATGTACTAATGAAACCTATCTTCATGAAGAATTAATATACACTAATAAAAACATTCTTTAAAAAGTAACACATAAAAAGTATTAGGTCTTTGAGAAAGCAGACTCCTATTTTTTACTATGAGGTGATAGACTAGTAGGGGCAGGAAAGATTATTTTATTTTTCTATTTATTTTTATAACTCTCGGGGAAACAGCCCTACTGTGACCTTTTTAGTTTTGCATCGTAAATGAAAGTCTTTGGATCGTTGGCAGCACCGGGGACGTTCAGGATGCTCTTTGGCAGGTGGAAATCCACAGCCCAGCTCATGTCTCTGCGCGGAGCATTCCTACCAGGCACTACTAACATTTTCATTTGAGAGTTTTCTAAGATGTGGAAGGGTGCAAGAGCTGAACTGACAGGTACTCGTCCAATAAGAGGACCAAACTGCTGACCCGTCTCCATTCTGCCAGACACCACTTCTCTTTCAGATTGCCCTTATAAGCCGTGAGAGGCAGGATGGACAAAAGAGTCAATTTGCAAGTTTAGGAACTGTTTGTTCCCAAAGTCTGACAAAATAATTTGACCTGCTTTTTTGTTGCAGGCAAACCAAACTGGCGTTGTTTTCAACAAAACTTCTATTGTGTGCTCAAAGAAAGTGTGAGGGCATCCTACATCAACCTTCGTGCATTTATGCGAGGTAGGACGATGCTGACCTTATTGTGACACAAGGAAAACTGTAGTTTGTGCTTCTAGAACATATATTGGTTTATGCTAGAAGAATTATCACAAGAGCCACTTGTGACAATGTACACAACAAAGATAATTGCTTAAAGCTCTAGTGACCATTGTTTGCTTATCTCAGAGAAGGACTGAGGGTCATTCAGTTTTCATTGTCTTGGTAAAAGAAAAGGAGAGGCGCTTTGCATTCTGGTTGAAAGTGTGAGCTTGGCTGTTAGCCTATCCTGAGTCTGAGACCCATTAGGGCTTGTCAGAGTCTGTGGTCTGTAACTTAAGCCTTCTGTGAGTCAGAGCCTTTATGTGTAGCATGGAAATAATCATCTTACCCACTTGATGTAATTATTTCTAGAATGAAAGAAAAGGCACACAGCACGCACTTAGCATTGTGCCTGGCACATAATGAGGGCTTGATGAAAGCGGATAAAAAACAAGGGGTTGAATGAAAAGGTCCTTCATATTTTCTGCTGGAAGAAAAGATGTATTATTTCAGTGAACCTTGTGGGAGTAACTCAGGGAAACTTGAATGTTAACATTAAAAAACAAAGCCTGAAGTCAGGCCTACCCACTCTTGACACTCTATCATCAGGCTATCTTCATCCTGGTTTTTCTGTTTGGATCCCTTGCAGCTAGGCTACTGGAGAAAGCAAGCCTGGAATCTAGTTTCACCTGCTGCACGTAAAGATTGAAACTGAAATGAAAACAAATGCTGTGGGTTGGCCAGGCAGTGGTGGCGCACACCTTTGATGCCAGCACTCAGGAGGCACAGGCAGGCAGATCTCTGAGTTCAAAGCCAGCCTGGTCCACAGAATGAGTTCCAGAACAGCCAGGGCTACACAGAGAAACCAGGTCTTGAAAAACCAAGAACCAGCCGGCGGTGGTGGTGCATGCCTTTAATCCCAGCACTCGAGAGGCAGAGGCAGGCGGATCTCTGTGAGTTCGAGACCAGCCTGGTCTACCGAGCGAGTTCCAGGACATGGTCCAAAAACCAATACAGAGAAACCCTGTCTCGAAAAACCAAAAAAAAAAAAAAAAAAAAAAAAAAAAAAAGAAGAAGAAGAAAAGAAAAGAAAAAAGAAAAACCAAGAACCAACCAACAAAACAAACAACCCACTGTGGGTAAATCAGGCTAAGATTAAATAGGAATAATGGTTTCCTTGTATCCTGTGTCCATTTTATCTCATTCCACATGAGAGCTCACTTCATTTTAACCTGGAGTTGGTCACTCCTTTTCTGCTCAGAAGATTTTGTTGATGTGTATTTTGTGTATGTGCTTCCATGTATGTGTATGCATGCTGGCGCCTGGGGAGGTCAGAACAAGGCGATACATTTTTCTGGATTTGCAGGCTGTTGTGAGCCAAACAGATACGGATTTGGGGAACCTGGGTCTTCTTCAAGAGCAGAAAGTCTCTTAACTGCTGAGCCATCTCTCCAGGCCCTCTTTTTTGTTCTTTATTACAAATAATTCACAATTTTGGTCCAGGCACGTGGCATGCAACCATAATCCCAGCACTTTGGATGCTGAGGCAGAAAACATCAGTGCAGCCTGTGCAACACAGCGAGTTCACAGTGAGGTCCAGCCTCCAAACATCCAGAGCTGGCATTGCAACTCAGCGGTAGCATGCTGATCTATCGTGAGCACATCCACAGGTTCCAAAAACAAACACCAGCAACAAAACATTTCTGAGAGCAAGTCCATTTATGTAGACAACAGACACAAATAGACATTGCCGTTAGATCCTCAGGAACCCTGGGCTCATCTGCGGTTGGGAAGCCTTGGATCTGATTGTAACTAGTTCCTAGTGTGAGTGTATCAGGAGGCAACATGACCAGCCAGGAACTTCTTTATATTGTTAACAAAACAATGTGAATTCCTAAATTGTAACATTTCTGTGGGTGCTAATTTTAACACCTGTTCCTAAACAAACCCTAAATTTAGGAAATGCATGGTATAATTGGATCACAGCGATCTAACAACAAAGAAGTATGGATGGGGAGGGCCGTCTTCCTTACTTGTCTATAGAAAAATGCAACTAGAAATATTGCAGTGGGTCAGGAGTGGTGGCACACTTAATCTCAGCACTCAGGAGGCAGAGGCAGGAGGAGCTCTGTGAGTTCAAGACCAACTTGGTCTACAGAATGGGTTTCAGGACAGCCAAGGCTGTGACACAGAGAAACCCTGTCTCTGAAAACAAACAAACAGCTGGGCTTGGTGGTGCCTGCTTTTAAAGCACTTGGGAGGCAGAGGCAGGCATATCTCTATGAGTTCGAGGACAGTCTGGTCTACAGAGAGAGTTCCAGGACAGAATCCAAGGCTACACAGAGAAACTCTGCCCCCCCAAAAGAAAAGAAAACAAAGAAATGCTGTGTGTACCCCATCTTGACAATTTTTGAGGGGGTCCCTTGTTCTTAGTCATTGTCAGGGAAAGAAGATAGACAATGCTGTAGCCCTGAGACAATGAGAAGCCTTTAATGAGATTGATTCCAAAAGTGCAGAAGGAAAATTTTTATATTTCACTCTACCCAACTCCAATTCAATCCAGGTAACACATTTATAGGATTCCACAGGGAAATTTCTCAGATTTGGGACTAGAGGAGAAAAGTCACATGATTTCATTCAGAGTAGAAAAAGGAGATGTGGCTCTCTGGACTTTGTCACATACCGCCCCTCCTGTTAGTGTGTTGACAGCTCCTGGAAAAGTACCCCGTTCCCTATAGCTCACATGGCTCAGTCATCCATCTTTAAGTGCAGCTGAAAAACAGAGACAAGGACCACCCTCTGCCCCACTGCAGAATGCAATGGGCCAGAATCTTCTGAAAGGACAGTGTGTTCTGTCCATGACCCCTTCGTTGCAGCCTATCTCTATGAAAACGGCCGTTTTGAACAAGTTCAGCAACAATTGCATTATTCATACTTGCTTCTGGCCAGGCTTCAGAGTTTTAATCATCTAAATAGAAAAAGAAAGATCAATTCAGCAATGACCAGTTTGATTCAGCTCATGTTTACTGAGCCTGTTTTAGCTGCAATGGGGTGAGCCAGTAGCAAGGCAGCAGTTAGAAATGGCCTGCCCACGTGGCCATCTGGAAGGCCTCTCAGAATAGATGCTATCCAGGCAGAACTTGAGGCCAGACCTCAGGACAGGAGCAGAGGCATAGCAATAATTTCGGGGCCATACGTGTATGCCCGAGGGACACCGACATTGGCTAAGTTGTGGGCGTGGTCAAGGATGACATTGGGTTAGGTGAGACATAACATATTGAAGTGAGCTCTCTTGTTGACTCTTACATATCAACTAATATTTCTCTTTTTTACTTCTTTGGCTTCTCCACTGGGCTCTAAGCTGCTATAGACCAAGGTCTGTGTACACATGGTCCTTACCGTCCTATCTGTACGAGATAGCATGTGCTCAAAAAACATTGGTTGAAAGCATAAGTCATACAAAGCTGATGCTTGGCACATTGAGAATCCACTTGGCTCAGGAGTTCATGACCATTTACTCAAGAACCCTTAGAAGCTAGGATGATCAAGACAGGAACTATGAGAAGAGTGTATGCCCCAGGGGTAGAAAGACTGGAATCCAGAATGAGAAATTAAGGAGAAATATGTGTTCCCATTTGTCCTAGTTTGCTTTTTCTGTTGCTATGATAAAACAACGACCGATAACAACTTGGGACAGAAGGGGTTTATTTGGCTTACAGATTATAGTTCATCAGTGAGGGAAGCGAGGGCGGGAGTTCAAGGCCGGAGCCTGAAGGCAGGAATTGAAGTAGAGACCCTGGAGGGATCCTCGTTTATTGGTGTGCTTCCTTTAGCTTGCTCAGTTACCTGCCTTACAGAACCCGGGACCACCTGCCCAGGAGTGATGGACTGAGCCCTTCTGCGTTAATTATCAGTCAGGAAAATACCTCACAGACAGGCCAGTCTGATGGAGGAAGTTCTTCAGTTGTGATTCCCTCTTTCCAGGCGACCTGAAAGTGTGTCACATTGACAAAACGTAACCATAACACCATCTGCAGTGGGGGGAGCGGTGGAGAGATAATGATAGATCGAGCAGGGGTCAATCTGAGTCCTCAGCAGGTCTACAGCTGCTGACCGGTCAAAAATGTAAAAGTGTCACATTGAGCTTTAAGAATTTAGGGGAGGGAGGGAGGAAAGGAGGGAGAGAGGTACCAACCTTTAATCCCAGCACTTAGGGGGCAGAGGGAGGCAGGTCTCTTATTTGGAGACCTGTCTGGTTTAAAGAGTGAGTTCAAGGACAGCTAGGGCTACACAGAGAAACCCTGCCTTGAAAACAATAAACAACAATAAACTGGAATGTTTCTGATAGCTTAAGCAAAATAAAACTTTGCATGTTCATTCTCCCTCCTAAAAGAAGTTTCTGTATCAGCCTTCCCATTACCTTGGGATCCTTCAGCCCTGAAGAGAGCTGGGGAGGAATTTGGTAAGTCACAATGAATATACAGACCCGATTTTATTACATCTTTCACCTCAATGTACCTGGCAATGTTCCACGAACTGCCCGGCAGCCTGGGGATTTTGACCAGTCCCAGGATTTTGGCAATAGCAATGGGAAAAACTAGCAAGAAGCTTTAGTTTTTTTTGCTTTGTTTTGTTTTTACTCTTTGTTCTTTACTCTTGGGAGGCCCACCACTCAGCTCCTGAATAAGCACACAGAATCTTATTCTTACTTATGAATGCCCGGATTTAGCTTGGCTTCATTCTAGCCAGCTTTTTCTTAACCTAAACTATCCTAACTACCTTTTGCTTCTGGGCTTTTATCCTTCTTATGCCTTTCTTTACTCTGAGGCTTGCTGTGTAGCTGGGTGGCTGGCCCCTGAGGTCTATCCATCCTTCTTTCTCTCTTCCTCCCTGACCTTCTCTGTTTTTCTCTTTCTGTTTATTCTCTCTGCCTGCCAGCCCCATCTATCCTTTCATCTGTCTTGCTGTTGGCCATTCAGCTCTTTATTAGACCAATCATGTGTTTTAGAAGGGCAAAGTAACACAGCTTCACAGAGTTAAACCAATGCAACATAAAAGAATGCAACACATCTTTGCAACACTGAAAATAATTTTCCACAGCATAAACAAATGGAACATGTCCTCAACTAATGTTCCACAATAGGAAGCTCTCAGAGAACATGGTCCCTGCAACAGGATAGGATGACTGAGGACTTCCTTAACTGGAGTCAATCCATGAGGTAGAATGCTGTAGCTTTTAAAATTTCTTGGACAACATAACACAGAGAAATGTGAAGTCTGTCTTTCTATAGTATATTGGTTGTTTTGTTTTGTGCTTTGTGTTTGTCAGCTTGACACAAGCTAGCATCATCTGAAAAGAGAGAACCACAATTGAGAAAATGCCTCCTCAGACTGATCAGTAGGCAAGCTCGTACGGCATTTTCATGCTTGATTATTGATATGGAAGGGACCAGGTCACTTGTGGGCAGTGCTATCCCTGGGCAGGTGGTCCTGAGTTGCATAAATAAGCAAAACAAGTAAGCCAGGAGCAAGTCAACGGGTAGCTTTCCTCCATGGTGTCTACTTCAGTTCCTCCTCTCCATGTTCCTGCCTTGAGTTCTTGTCTTGGCTGCACACGATGATGGGCTGCAATTGCACGCTGAAATAAACCCTTCCAAGGTTAGTTTTGTTCAGTGTCCCATCATAGCAACAAAAAAAAGAAACTAATACATATGACTTAGCAAGAGCAGGGAAGGTGAGACAAGCTTTAAGTGTGTGTGTGTGTGTGTGTGTGTGTGTGTGTGTGCCTG